TTGAGGAGATCCAAGAGGATACGCACCTCCCGACGTTCTCAAGGCAGGGGCCTGCTTGAGTCGCCTCTGCTGGTTGCGACCGAAGTACTCGACCCCATCAACTTGGCACATCCCCCCAAGCTGGTGTTCCAGATTGGCGAGGAACTCTCCGAAACACCTGTCAAGATCCTGCCGAGTGCCCCCCTTCCTCGCTCTTCGGCACAGCACAGAGTAGCAGGGTGGGGCGGGATGAGGCCCCACGGGGGCCGAGAGGGGAAATGCCCTTGGCCGCGGCAGGATCCAAACCTTATCGATCCGCGGGTTCCCGCTCAGGCTCGCGCTCACTGGCCAGCGAGGGCTGGTGGTCGCGTTCTCATTGCGGCCAACCTTGGTGAAAGACGGCGCCTACGCAGCAGTGCAAACAAAGAAGTCAATCGTCTTCCATCTCTGCGCCGTCGAGCGACATGTGGAGGCAGAGGGCGCCGCGATCTGTCCTCCAAGGCGCTCCGCCCATCCAGCTTCTCTGGGGGCTCGGGGCTCACAATTCCAATCTCCCCCGAGGATGAAGGGGGGGCCCCAGCCATGCAAAGCTTCCCCCAACCTGGAGAGGAGGCGCCCCCCCCCCCCCCCTCCCCCTTCCTCCATCTCACCCAAGGGGTCGCCCTGGGGAGGGTAAACGCTCCCGAATATGAAGCCCCCTGGGGCGAAAGCGCTGACCCAGGACAGCTGGCACCTGTGGGAGGCTGGGGGGGGGGGGGTCGGGCAAGAGGGGGGGAAGCCCGACCCCAATATGATTCCTGACTGCAATTCCAACCCCGCAGGACAGTCCTCCTAAGTCGGCGACCACAGAAGGGGCTGAGGATGCACCTCCAGCCCTGCTTGCGCATCGCGGCCTCGACCTCGGACCTCTCGATCTCCTTCATGGCCAGCTCTTGGAGGCAGACGATCATGGCGCTAGTCTCTTACCCCCAGATATCGCTTGAAGGATGCGAGCGAAGTGCAGTTGCATGTCTCAATCTGGATCGCCCTGCGTTTGCCCTCCTTGGCCGCTGGCCCAGGGAGCAGATCAGGCTGTGCGATCGGACAGACAGGCGGGGCATCGATCGCGACCACTGGAGCCCGCGAAAAAGAAACAGAGGCCCGACCGCTGCGGCTGGCGCTGCGGACAGGGCGGGAAAGTGCGTGAGCCGTCTGGGCTGGGCCCCGCCCCAAGCCAGGCTCAGTTCCTGGCGTTGCCGATGAGGTCGCCCCGTAGCGCCCAAGGTCGTCGCGTGGTGCGCTGCGCCGCCCCTCCAGCGATTCCCCGCCCCAGGGCGCCTCTCGGTGGGCCCCGAGCCAAAGGCTCGGGCCTTCCGAGGGATGCGTCTGAAGCGGGGTCTCCACTATCTCTGGGGCGGAGAGCGTGGCGCCTGTCGACGCGGTCATCGTCGATGACAAGGTCGCCGATCCACCGCGGGCCGCCGGGCTCGGCGCCGTCGCGGTTCTTGGGGCTCGATGCCACAAGGCCTTGCCTGCGGGGGCGAGGGCGTCGCATCTCAGCCGTAGGCAAAGAGAAACGGGTGATCATCCTCGTCGACGTCTATGATCTTACTCTGCCCCCCCCCCCCCCCTGCGGCGGCTGCGATCGGTCGCGGGGGGGCCTCCGCCGCACTGCTTCCACAGGGGGGCATCAGGGCTGCGACTGGCCCTGAGCTTCGCCTCCAAGCGCACGGGCTGCCCTTGAACGGGTGTTCTCGCTGCTGGTGCCGCCCTTGGTCTTCTCGCTGCTGGCTACTGGCGAGCCGCCTTTGGCTGCTGCAGCAGCCCGGGTACTCTTCCCAGTCTCTTCTCCAGGCTGACGTTCAGGGGCGGCCGTAGCGTCGGCGCTGCTCGCACCTTCGGCCTCTGTCGCCTCTGCAGGAGGTTCGGTCCGTCCACGCTTCCGAGCGCCGTTGTACATGTGTCGCATGCTCCGCTTTGACCTTCTCAACTTTGACCATGGCGTCTCGGAACATGTTATTGGTAGCTGTCTGCATCTGTAGTCGCAACTGGTCCTTCCTTTCCTCCAGCGCCTTGGCACCCTCAGGGGTGAGCTCGAACTCGTCGCCAATCCTGAAGAAACCGTCGATGTCAATGAGGCTGGTGATCTCCGACTTCCCCGCGGCGACGTCGGCGAGAGGAACCTTGGACCCAAGAAGTTGTTTGTCACCTTCCGTGTCTTTGCCGACCTTATCTGCGAGCTCGGAGACGATGAGGGCGTACTCTCCGTCTGCCTCTGCCAGGGCCAGCTCGAGCTCCTTGACGCACTCCGTCTGCGTGCGGATCCAGCCCTGGTACGTGTCGAGCTTGCCGACCTCCGCACCCGGAGCTTCCTCCAACTGCTTGATGCGGGCGTGGCAGAGCTGGGCTCGCTCCTGGATGGCGAGCTTGGGGCCCTTGCGGAGGTCCGCAAGCTGTGCCTCGTACTTGCGGGCAGTGTCCTTGTCCCCGAGCTTAGTGGCCAACGCGATACCATTCTCGAGCTCCTCCTCTGTGGGTCCCGCGCCTCCAGGACCTGGCAGGTGCCCCGCTGGTGCTGCTTCAGGCTGGAGATCCGCGCGTTGACGTCCTGCCCCACGAGATTGCCGACGACCGCCACGACCACTAGGACTAGGAGGAGCCAGGAGGGCGTGTGCAGCAGGATCCGTTGGGGCTCCGACTTTCCACTCCTGGCAGTGCTTGCAGAATTCGTAAGAGGCCAAATTCTTTTCGCATCCGCAGAAGGCGCACACCCACTTGGGGCCAGCGTCACCGCCGAGGATGAGCGCCCCCGTGCCCGCGGACTTGCCCGCTGTGCAGTTCTGCGACCCACCAGGGCGGCCCTTGCCGCCAGGGCGGCCCCATGGCGAAAGGGACTGGGGAATGGTTGTCGTAATCTGCTGGTGCCGTGCTAGACGGACACCTCGAGACACAAGATATGGATGTGGCAGCGTCGCTGCAAGTGGAATTTGGAGGGGTCTGCTCCCGAGGCTATGCCGCCTACCTGAGAGCAGCCCGAGGGCGCAGCGGGTTGACTCAACCACCTTGAGGATATGGATTACTTGAGCCAAAATGGCTTGAGTCAAAATGGTTGCGAAGAGTTTACAGTGGTCCTCCTGCTCCTCCTCCTCCTCCTCCTCCTCCTCCTCCTCTCCCGTTCCTTGTCCTTATACCTAACTCCTCCCTGTCGCACCCCGATGCCAGTCGGAAGGGCGGGCCGGGCGTTTCGCCTATGACGTCCTACATTTTATGATCCTGACGCTTCTACAATTGACAACAGCTTCGCGGATTAAGGGCGAGTCCTTTCAAAATGTGTCTTTCGCCCAAGCACCGCGCACATTCGTTTCCAAAAGTTGCAAGTTTCACGGATTGAAGGCGAGTGGTTTTCCAAATGTGGCTGTCGCCCTAGCGCCGAGCACAATCGTTCAAAACAATTGCAATGGTGTCACTGATTTAAAGCAGGTCGTCTTCAAAATGCGGCTCTCGCCGTAGCGTAGCGCACACTCACTCTAATAATTACCAAGAGCTTCACGGTTTGAGGGCGGTTCCTTTTCAACGTGGGGCTCTCGCCTTAGCGCCGCGCTCATTCGTCTTAACAAACAGACATATCGAGGGCGGCGCCTTGCCAACATGTGCCTCTCGCCTTAGCGCCGCGCGCATTCGCCTTAACAGCCGCAAGGGTTCCGCGGACCCTCATGGTGAAAATACCAGGACTGGTGTTTCGGAGCGATTCAGGATTGGATTGTCAGGGCGCAGCAGTTATGTTGATTCGCAGCGTTAGAGCCCCAAGAATGGTGTTCTGGCACCATTCAGGGTCGTCAAGACGCAACCGTCAAGTTGATTCGTGGCGTGGGAATCCTGAGATCTGGCACGCTTCAGGATTTTCGCACGGTTGTCTCCCAACGGTGCACTTCCCTCAAACGAAATGAACCCTTGTAGGGGCCTGTAAAGAGGGAGCTTGGAGGGTTCATTCCAACATCGATGATGAGTCTTGAGCTTGCACTTGTCCTCCTCCTCCTCCTCCTCCTCCTCCACCTCCTCCTCACGTTCCCCCTCCTCCGCCTCCTCGATATCGCCCTCGTCCTCGTTCATTATGCTCCTTGTCGTCGACGCCTCTCCTCCCTCATCCCTCCTGACCGCCTCTCATGCTGATACTCCTCCTCGCTCCTCCTTCCTCCCCTCGTCCTCCCCTCCTCCTCCTCCTCCTCCTCCTCCTCCTCCTCCTCCTCCTCCTCCTCCTCCTCCTCCTCCTCCTCCTCCTCCTCCTCCTCCTCCCCCCCTCTCTTCTCCTCCCCTCCTCCTCCCTCCTCCTCCTCCTCTCCTCCTGCTCCTCCCTCCCTCCCTCCCTCCCTCCCTCCCTCCCTCCCTCCTCCTCCTCCTTCTCCACGGGCCATTCCCTCTACGTAGAGGCTCTGTAGCTTCCTGTCTACTACCACTGCTTTGACGCCTGGGCGGGTCTGAACATGCGATGGTCACGGGGCCGCCGCCGCCGCCAGGGAGGTAAACTCTAAGCGCTCCAGATCTAACAACTACCTCTTTAGGTCAATGAAGACAGGGTCTGAGCAGGGGGGGCCACTGTCTGAGGTAGAGGGTGGATCCGCGGGAAGTGGGAGCTGCCAACGTTTCCCCATGGCCTGCCCACGACTTCCCCCCGTCAGGCCACGAGCTCACCTGCCCACGACACTTTCCCCCGAACTGCTCATCAATAGCTCCACGAATTTCCACTCGGACTTCCCGCTGATCTCTCCGCTGGTTTACCTTGTTTACCTTGCGGCCCCGGAGGGGGGGAATCAACCTTACACTCAGTCAAAACCCTTCGTGCGGCGAGGCCCCTGGTAAAGAACACTTTGCTCCAATGGCTCCTGGACCCTTTACTCTGGACCATGTGACTTCTGCTCCGTGCGATACGCCAGCGCGCCACTCCAACCCTGCGCTACGGACCATCCCCCTGGCGGGATGGACACCAACCACGCCTGCTCCTGGGGCAGTCCGCTCGGGGCTGCCACCCTTCCGGGAAATGCGGCCTTCACGGCCAGGTCCACCGCGGAGGTCTGGTGCGTGTGCGGCTGCGCCATGTCCATGCACACGCAGACCCTGCCCGGGCCCCTCTCGCGGGGCCGGCCGGGAATGCCGCCGCGCTCTTCCAGGCGCGGGTCGCCAGGGACAAGCGGCAGCGCCTCGTCGATGCAGAGTGAGGGGCTGTTGTTGATCTCCAGCAGCAGGGGCCGGAAGTTTCGGTCCAGCATGACGTCGAAGCCCAGCAGCTGGCAGCATCGCATCCTCTCCGCGTCGTCGGCCCCGCAGCCCCGGTAGGAGGCGAGCATCGCGGGCGCCATCGCGGAAACGACTGTGCGCGTGAGCGTCGCCACGCTGTCGTAGAAGGCAAGCGTGTCAAATTCGGGGTGCTCGGCCTCGATCTGCCTCAGAGCCACCGTCAGCGGTCGCTTCGACGCGGTGCTAGACGAGTCGTAGGCGTCTTCGACAGCACCGCCGCAGTGCTCGAACTTCTCGCTCCGCTTGTTCAGCGAGTAGTTCGTCAGGTGGGCCATGCACCGGTGCATGTTACCAGGCGCGGGCTCCTCGTACCGCTCGGTGCAGAAGCGCGCGAGGCCCTCCCGGCAGAGGTGCACGGCCGGCGGGGCCTGGCGGGAGCCCCCGATTACCGCCACGTACATCCGCAGATCGAACTTGGTGCCTCCCAGCAGAAGGGGCCGCTCGAGGTACCGCTGAACCACGGCGCCGCCGCTGGGCGAGGCGGACAGCTTGACGTCGAGGTCCCGCACGCCCTGCACGAGGAAGATGCCGTCGCCCTGCGACCCGTCCTGCGGCTTGACGATGTACGTCCTCTTGGACTTCGCCAGCGTCTCGCGGAGCTGCTCCGCCTGGTCCGGCAGCACCTACCCGCCCGGGGGCTCAGGGCGGGGGCCGCCCCTGCACCCCCTTCCTGGCGGCGCGCGCGCGCGCCCAGGGGTGGGAGGAGGGGGGGAGGCTGCTCAGCAGGGGTGGGAGGAGAGGAGAGGGGAGGAGAGGGGAGGAGAGGCAAGGAGAGGGAGGAGAGGAGAGGGGTGGGAGGAGGGGGGGGAGGCTGCTCAGCAGGAGGCCGCTTCCTGGGGGGCGCCGGCCCTTTCGTCTGCAGACGAGGCCCGCGCCCGCGAAGAAGCGGCCTCGTGCCGAGGAGCCTGCCCCCCTCCCCCACAGGACCCGCTCCGCGCGTGGGAGGGGACGACCTCAACCCGCCCAAATCCCCCCTCCTGAAGGAGGAGGAGGAGGAGGGAAGAGTGAGGATGAGGAGGAGGAGGAGGAGGAGGAGGAGGAGGAGGAGGAGGAGGAGGAGGGAAGAGTGAGGAGGAGGAGGAGGAGGAGGAGGAGGAGGAGGAGGAGGAGGAGGAGGAGGGAAGAGTGAGGAGGAGGAGGAGGAGGAGGAGGAGGAGGAAGAAAAGGAGGAGGAGGAGGGGGATCTCTGGGCTCTGCGCGCGGCCGCGGCGGGGGAAAACCTCGTTCACACCCCCAAGAACCCACTGAGGGGGGGGCTCTGAGGGGAGAACCCCTGTCCCGCCCCCCAGCCCCGCAAAGAAAAACCATCCCAGCCGCTTCGGTTTAGGTCGGGCGTGTCTTCCTGCAGGCGGATCGTGGACGAAAAATGACACATCGCCAAACAGTACCCCCAGATGCTAAAACCAAATCCGTCCCCAGACTACTTTTGGGCTATCTTGGGGGTATTCCTCCCCGTAGAGGGACGTGCCCGACCTAAGCTTTGGCTCAGGTCTTCCGCGAGGGGCGAGGGACCTCTCTGGCTGCAGCAGCGCGGACCGATGCCGCGGTCGGAGGCGGCCGGCGGGCGCTTCGGGGCCCAGGTGGGCACAGCAGACGGGCAAGGGGGCACGGGCGGAGCCGAAGGGCCCACCAGTGGCGGCACCGCCCCGTTCGTCTCGCGCACCGACGAGTGGGACCCAAGTCCCAAGTCTCCCCTCGGGCGCCGCCAGGCGCAGGGGTGGCGGCGCCCGTGCTCGGCGAGCCGCGCTGCCCACCGCGCGCGGGCACGCCCCAGCACAGGGTCAGTCAGCTTCGAGCCGGGGAAGCGGATCGAATCGAACAGTGCGCCGGATCGGGCTGCGTGGGCATCGGACCGAGCCTGGCCAGCCAGAACCCCCATCGAATCGGAATCGGATGCGGATCGAAATGGGCCCTCTTCCTTATAGGGCCCCCGTCCTCAGGGCCTCATCTTTGCGCCGCCGATCCCCGCCCGTGGCGCCCCTTCGGCTGCACGCGAGAGTGACCACGAGCAAGAGTGAGCTCAGACGCGCATCGCGAGCTGGGATTGCTCCAAGCTCCGCTACAAACTAGAACTGCGGGGGGTGGGAGATCGAGACGAGAAAAGCATTGCGGCAATGCGACGTAACTAGATAGCGGGCTTTTCACTCATCAGTATATGTTTAGTACGCGCCAGCGCTGAAGCCAAACGGCGGCAGAGCATCCTGTTTGAGTGAGGGGAAGGATGGGAAGGAGGGCAAGGACGAATCGAGTGGAATGAGGGGAAGGAGGGGAAGAAGAGGAAGGAGGGAAGGAGGGGAAGAAGGAGGAGGGGAAGGAGGGGAATGAGGGGGACCCGACCAGAGGGTAGGGAGGCATATACGTATCGGAGAAACTGGTCTTAAACGAACTTTGGATCGCGCCCTGAGCACCCAGGTGCGGGGGTTGAAATCCCACGCGCCCTCGGGCCACAACTCCTGGCACACACGCACCATCCGCGCGAAGTTGCCCTTGTCGCAAAGGTCCGCCAGGCCCGGGTAGCGGGGGACCCCCGTTAGATGCACCGACGGCCGACGTGTCCTCCTCCTTCTCCTCATACTCCTCCTTCTCCTCCTCCTCCTCCTCCTCCTCCTCCTCCTGCTCGTCTTCCTCCTCGTCCTCCTCCTCGTCCTCCTCCTCCTCCTCCTCCTCCTCCTCCTCCTCCTCGTCCTCTTCCTCCTCCTCCTCCTCCTCCTCGTCCTCCTCCTCCTCTCTATTCCTTTTCCTTATAAATCATTTCTCCCTGTCACACCCCGAGGCCAGTTTTTAGGGCGGGCCGGGCGCTTCGCCTGATAACTCCTCACCGTCTATGACTGTGAAGCTTAAACACTGGCAACAGTTTCACAGATAGAGGGCGGATGGTTTTCAAAATGTGGTTCTCGCCTTAGCGCGGCGCACTTTCGTTCAAACAAGTTGCAAGGGCTTCTCGGATTGAGGGCGCGTCGTTTTCAACATGTGGCTCTCGCCTTCGCGCTGCGCACATTCGTTTGAATTGCAAGAGTTTCACGGATTGAGGGCGGGGTCGTTTTCAACATGTGGCTCTCGCCTTAGCGCCGCGCATTCGTTTATAATCTGTTCCAAGGAGTTCCACGGATTCCCATCATCAACGTGCCAGAAATGGTGTTTTGGACGGATTCAGGATCACGCGGGTTCATCAGTTACGTTGATTCACTGTGCTGTGAAGTCCCAAGAACGGCGTTCTGGCACGATTCAGGTACGTCAGGACGCAACAGTCAGGTTGATCCGTGGCGTTGGAATCCCGAGAACGATGTTTTGGCATGCTTCAGGGTCTCCAAACGGTCGTTTTCCAACTCAGTGGAAATGAACGGTTGTAGGGGCCTATGAAGAGGAAGCTTGGGCGGAGGGTTTATTCCAACATCGTTGATGCCTCTTGAGTTTACACTGATTCTTGTCCTCATCCTCCTCGTCCTCCTCCATAGCTCTCTCTCTCTCTCTCTCTCTCTCCTTCCTGCTCTTGCTCCTGCTAGAGCTCCAGCTCTTCCTCCTCCTCATCATCATCATCCTGCTCCTCCTCCTCCTCCTCCTCCTCCTCCTCCTCCCCACTTCGTCCTCTCCTCATTCCCCTAATTCCTTCTCCTCCTCCTCCTCCTCCTCCTCCTCCTCCTCCTCCTCTTCTTGACCCTCAAGACCAAGGCGAATGGGATTGCGTGGCACTTGCCTCGCCTACCAGACTTTTCCCTGGATGGTTGGCGCGACATGGTTGACAAGTCCACCAGTGTCGATGGCACTACTGCACGTCGCAATGTTGCAGCGGCCCGAGGTGTTGTGGCAGCAGTGGATGGTTGGACAGGCGGTGCAGGCAGACGAAACTTTCAAGTCAGCCAGGTAATTTCATGGTCAGGGTTTGGTGGGGATGTCGCGGGATGGTTATGCGAGCTCTTGGATGTTCAAGCATCTTGCTGGTCTGGTTATTTTCAGCAGCACGCCCACGGCAGTTCACGGATATGTCTCCAGTGCTTGCGGTCTGAAGCCCGCGCTGGCGCACGTACTTTGATGACAGGTATGTTACAGGCAGCGCTTTCAGCACTGCCTGATGACAGGAGGCATGGCCCTGACCAAGCACCCTTCGACTCTTCAAAGATTCGAGCCTTGGCGCAATGCACCACTGTGCTGGCATATTCACCTTTTTGCAAGAATTGGCCATACTGCCCCACGCCAGCAGAATCGGCTGGATAGGCTCGCCATGTAGTCTTGATGGATTTCGCCGATGTGACGCCGCCTACGGTCAGGCGCCCATCGTTCCCTTCACATGCAGTCGCCTACTCACGAGCGTCTCTACACCTGAGCCGTGATGTCTCGAGCCGCCCTGTCAAAGATGCCCAAGCCGTGCGCGCACGACAGGTGGTTCTACGACAAACGGATGGCCGCCGATCTGATCATCACGGGTGACCCCCATCACCAACGGTTCGGGAAAGACCTTCACGGTCTGGGCAGCGGCAAATCGAGCTGGCCCGGGAATGATGGTGATGGACAGGCACCGTCTCGCAAGCATGGCGTGTGGACCGCTCCCTGGGCACGAGCAAAACACCCGAAGATCGGAGGTGTATGCCATCATCCTGGAGCTGAGGAGCTATGACAGAAGATGCGGCATGCCCTCGACGAGCACGGTGGGCTGTCAGACATGCTCACCATCGAGCTTGTCCCAAACCGTCAGGCTGAGGAGAAATGGCTGGGCAGACATTGCTCTGCCCACAGCATGACTGTCGTGCACGCCATCCTGGACAAGGCAGCGGGGACTCACGAAGCTCTCGTCCTTCGACCTCGGCAGGCTACAGCGTGGACAGGGAGCAGCCAGGGCCCCCGAACGGGTCGCCGCTTCGGGCAGGAGGCCGCGCCGAGCCTCGGCGCCCGCGCCCAGAGCTGACTCCAAGTGTGCTCGCCCACGTGCCACGATGCTGCTTCTGGGGGGCTGGGTGTGTCCCCTGGTCCGGACTCGAAGCTCCGAGGAGGAACCGGTATCCATACCGCTACCCCTCCCTCGATTTCGCCTTTTGGGGCCTCCTCTGGGAGGCCCTCGTCGCCCTCGTATGACGTCAGGTGTGCTCGCCCGCGTGCTCCGATGATGCTTCTGGGAGGCCAGGAGTGTCCCCTGGTGCCTCAGGAAAATTGAAGGGGCCCAGGCGCACAGAAACAGATACACACACATCCAAGGATCCGCTGTATTCTCCCATATTTTCTGGGTGCTCGTCTTCCCGCCCATGCCCCATATGTTCCCATCTTTTCGTGGGAATCGACGAGAATTCGTGTCTGCGTATTTCTGCCCTGCCGGGACGCCCGGAACCCCGAGCAGCCTCCGAGCAGGGACCCCCCGAGCCCCGAAGAGGAGCACCCCCGGGAGTGCAGTGATCAACAGCGAACGGAGGGAGCGAGAATGCACAAGCAAGCAGTCCTCCTCCTCCTCCCTCCCTCACTCCCTCCCTCCCTCCTCCTCCTCCTCCTCCTCCTCCTCCTCCTCCTCCTCCTCCTCCTCCTCTTCC